AGACCTACTATGGACGGATCTAACCACGCCGATAAGCTGTGCCCTACGGCTATTTCCTCCACTTCGTTGGGGACCATCGTGGGGTTGTGCCCTTTGATTGTTCCGCGACGCTTGGCGTCCATGGTCTTGCAGCGACCAGTGAGAAAGACCTGCCTGGATGTTTTTCATAGCTTCGGTAAATTGTTTAAGGGTGTCTTGGAGAGTTGTGTTGAACTGTTCCGTCAGCTTTTCCAGTTCTTGTCTGATCACAGGCTGTTGATCTTCCTAATCAATGGGTTGTTCAACCTCCATGTTGTCACCTTGATCTACACGATTGGATAGTTGGTTATTCCGCGGCTAGCGAGGTGGGCGCGATTGCTCTTGGGTTTGATTTTGCCCACCAGCGTTTTGAGAAGGATCGGTTCGACGGGTGGTAACCATGACTTTTTGCTTGACGAATCCCCACAGACGGCGCCAATTGTTTCTGCAAAAGAATTACAGGATCTGAGTTGTAGGGGAGCCTGCTCGCCTGGTTAAACCGAGTATTGCAAAACAATGAAAGTCAACTGCCTCAAGGGGGTGTTCTCGAGAAAGCCCCTCCGACGGTCAAGTCAGTCAACTGTGTTTAGAGAGAAAGTTTGTAGAGAGAGTGTGTGTGGAGAAAATTAATTACCTCGCTAATATGTGAAGTTAGTATTTATAGGAGAGGATTAACTAACTTGATTGGGGTTAGGATTAGGGTTTCTGGTCGTCTGGGCTGTACTAGGCCCTGTTGGGCTATGTTAGGGTTTCTTGGGATGCGTGATGTGCATGATTAGTTCCCGTTTAGGGTTTCGTAAGGGCATTTTTATAATTTCTGTATTTAATGAACATGGGCTCACAGGGGGTTCAAACAACCCCTTCCCCAAAATCAATTTTACCTCTTTCCAAATAATTTTCTCTCCCTAATTTTTTTCAATCTATCATTTTAATTTCCAAAAAACTCTATATCTTCCAAAATTAATTTCACATTTAATTTGGTTTTTAAAAAAAAAAGAAAAATTTACATTTAAGTATTGAGTAGAGGGCCCTATTTTTTAGAAGTTGAACAAGCTAGCTTAGGCCCCATAAATAATTTTTAATTGTAGCCCTGGCACTACTCTAATAAATTCCTAAGCATGCTAAAAAGATGTGTTACATTTAAAAGAAAATAAATAAAGTATACAAGAGAAATTATAGTCATGTAAGTAATTGTTGGTTTTGTCATAATTTAAATTTTTCGAGAGTGAGGGATAGCTCAAGTGGTTAGAGCTTCCCTCCCGATTCCAGGAGATCTTGGGATCGATTCTCACCCCCGCCCTTGTGGCTCTCTAAACACCAAAAAAAAAAAAAAAAATTCGAATATTAATTTTTTATAATTTATAATCATGGTTGCTAAATACAACCTTCATTTACTGAGCACACCCCCTAAAAACCCAAATATACCCTCACTCTCTCAAACTCCCTCTGATTTCTTACGTTCTCCTCTCTTTCAACCTAAAACGCTAACCCTAAAATTTTCTATCAAAAAATTCATTCAATACTCAAATCAATTTGAGTACTTGTGCTATCATTATTCAAACGAAATTTGTCGCTTGATCTTCCCTACAAATTGTTCTTTGTGTTGCCAAGGTAATCTTCACAATCTCTCATAATATTTGTTGCTCCATTTTACAAATTAGTTTAGGGTTTAATTTCGATTTTTTTAACGCTTGAGTATGATGAATTTTGGGGTTTTTGTATACTCTTTATTCTATTTGTGGTTTTTTAATCTTTGTTTGGATCAAATTTTCATTCAATTGACAAAAATCGAATTGGGATTGGGTAGTATTACCGTATTAGAGAAATTGGCTAATGCAATTTATCCTATTTTGGGTAAGTGGTATGCAATGGATTTCGACTGTTTTGTATGGTTGGGCTAAAACAGAGGAATTTGTTTTGTATAATTGGGATGTAATAGTAGTAGTTGCTTTGTATAACTGGGATATAACAATTCTAGGTGCTTTGTATAACTGGGTTGTAACAGACTATTTCTTAACAAGTATTGTTAGTTCATATGGGTCATTCGAAATTGCTATACTATTGCATTGAGTTCCCAATTTTAGTTGTTTTGAATCCCTTGAAATTCTTTAATGCATGGTATATAATATGCACCTATGTTCCTATTATGCATGGTATCTAACTTTTATTTATTTGAATAATCCCTTGCTTATTGTTCCTATTGCTAACAAAGTCATGTAGCCTACACTTATATCATGAAATTGAGGTTGATTGGTTGCTCCACTCGGGAGGGAAGGGGGGAAACAGCTCACACCGCAAGCTGCCCGCGACTAGGCGAGTGTTGTCGCAGCCTGCCTGCAGCCTGCTACCGCTCACTTGGTCATGGAGCAGAGTGCCCCGCAACCACCCTGCGGCCGCAACCCCCCCGGACCATGTAATGATGTAAAGATTGATTATTATATTAGCATGAATATATATATATATATATATATATATATATATATATATATATATACTCCCTCCGTTACGAGTTACTCGCAACAAAGGGAGGAATTGCGGACTCCTAGGCGAAATATCTTAAGTGTGATTATTGAAAAAATAGGGATGTGCTTAATATTAATTCAATAAAAAAAACAAAAAAAAAAACTAAACACCCAGCACCACAACCACGAAACCACCACCACCTAGCAAAACCACAACCACGAAAACACCACCAGTCAGCGCGCCACCAACAAAACCCAGCACCACCACCACCCGCGAACCCTTTGCGAAGCCGCCGAACCCACTACAACCCACCACCACCCACCCCGAAACCAACAACCCACGAACCTAGAGCCACAACCTCGAAACCCACCACCACGAACCCAGACCCACAACCGCCGAACCCACTACAACCCACCACCACCCACCCTGAAACCCATAACCCACGAACCCAGACCCACAACCCCGAAACCCACCACCACGAGACCACCCACGAATTCAAACCCAGAAATTCGAACCCACAAAACCACCCACGAAATTCAAACCTAGCACCACCAAAACCTGAAATTCGAAACCATAAATTCGACCCACCAAGCACCAAACCTTGAAATTCGACCCACCAAGCACCAAATCCAGAAATTCGACCCACCAAATGCACAACGAACTCAGAAAAAAGTTAGATCTAGAAAAGGAAGAGAGAGAAAACAAAGGTGTCGACAGGGAAGAAGACGACGGCGGTGATTTCCGGCGTTAGGAGCGATCGGTGGTGGTGGTGGTTGTTGCAAATGAAGGTGATGGTGGTGGTGGTGGTGATGATGAATTTAGATGGGAGGTGATTAAATCAATGTTAGGGTTTAAGTTAATAAGATAAAATCAATAGTTTAATTAGGGTGTTTAGGAAAAAAAGTAAGGGTAATGTTGTAATATCACACAAAAAAACTTACCATAAAAGGAAAGAAATAAGTTTGTTGCAAGTAATGTGTACCCGCTATTTTTGGTAATTCGTAATGGAGGGAGTATATATATATATATATATATATATATAAATCAGCTGCTCCAATTAATAGGACTTGAAGAACCATACAACTTGATACTATACATTTGTATGAAATAGTGCTTATTGTTTTGTTCAATATGTATGAAATTTAGTGTACTATTTTGTTCAAGATATACAAAATAGAGTATACTATTATGTTCAATATGCACAAAATAGAGTATACTATGTTGTTTCAATGTATAAGAAATAGAGCATCGATTTTGTTCAATTTAGCCGAAATAGATCAGCCTGTTTCACTCGTTCAGCAGGATGAGTACTCAAAAATAATAACAAAAAAACGAAAAACTTACATCAATTATGAGTTCTTTTAGGTCAAAATTGTCATCCATTGTAATCTCAATTAGTATTTTAAATCGAATTTGGTACTCTTGTGAGAAAAATTTTAAATGTATTAATATGTTTTACCAAGTTGAGAGAGGAGGAGAAAAAAAAATTTTATATTTCTATTCGGGTTATAATATAAGGGGAAAAGGGTTGCGTTAAGCGTTAAGTAAACCTAGGTTGCATTTATTAAATACTCCCTCCGTTTTTAAATACTTGCTCCATTTCTCCATGCGCGGAGTTTCAGGAGAAATTGAAAAAAGTAATAAAATATGGAGGTAGTGGGATAGTTGAGAAAATAAAAAATTGTAAAAAGTAAAAATAGTGGAAGAATAGAAAGAGAAAGAGTATTATGTTTGGTTTTAAGTGTGAGAAATGAATTAAATATTGTAAAAGCTTTCCAAAAAAGGAAATAGAGCAAGTATTTAAAAACGGCCGAAAAAGGAAAGTGGAGCAAGTATTTAAAACGGAGAGAGTATATTATTGTCTAATATCTATATTGACATGCGGGCCCAATTATATAGGGAAGGACAATAACTGAAAACAGATGTTATATTTTTCACTAGTAACTTTTACACATATGAAAATGAATACATTTTACCGTCAACCACATCAAATAACGAATTACCGATCAAAACACCCTACTTTTCAAACTAAATACCAAATCAATTTATTAGAGGATTTAATTGACTTTTATGGACAACGGTAAAAACACTAAAAAGTCAATTGAAAGAATCTTTAAGAACGCATGTATGCAGTCCTAAAATTGCGGGCATAAGCAGGCAAGTAGCCAACCCGTCAACCTGGGTGGATGGGGTCTACTCTGGCATTGTCATAATTACATCATTTGACATAAAAGAAGACACTTCCAAAAGGCTTCCTCAAAGTCAACTCTTTTTCACTAAAAGCCCACCACCACTACCTATTATTTTATCCCTTTTTTAATCCTCAGCATTACCTTTCTCTGAATTTCAGCAAAATTTTATCAGTCTTCAGATACCAAAACGTCCATATCATGTACACATGCGCAGGATAAGGACATTCTTTCTACATTTTAATTTTTATTTTACTCCTTTTTTTCAGCATCTACTTTCATTTTATTGCTCCACCTAATAGAAAACTTACTCAAACATCATCGGTTGCATTGTCTAAACCTCTCATAAGTACCACTATCACTCATATTATAACTATGAACCCATTATAATTATAATAGTATATGCCACTATAAATTCCGAATAAAGTGACACATAAGTGAGAGTACTGAAAGGTTGTTTACCCTGGCAGTTGTGTCTCTGAATTCTATAATACTTCCAATACTGTTAGACTTTGTTTTAAGTAAGAGCTGCTTTTGTCATCCCATCATCATATCTCTCACTTCTCTCTGACTCTCTCTCCTCTCTATTTTTCTACTTCAAAAATGGAGGGTCTTCCCTCAGGTTACCGTCCGAACGTCGGAATATGTCTTATAAACGACGATAATCAGGTACTTTTCCGATAAACTAGGATTGCTTATGCATCACCTTGATGTAAATTGCAAAAATTATGCAATCTATCTTTGGTAAAATTTATATATGCTAGCTGTTTACATATTTTTACGAGATTAATCTGCAATTATATAACTAATTAGGTAGGATTGTTATGTTATTTTTTATGGTGTTGCTAAAACTGTTCTCTTGAAAGATCAGTTTGTCTATAAATAAAATTTTGGATTATATTGTTGATAACCGCTACGGTAGTTTGTCAAAGTCTTGGGCGGTGGTACCAAGACATGAGATCAAATCCCGTCTATGTTTGTTCTTTGTGGCGTTTTATTCGGCACCTATATATTTTCTTGGATCATAAAAAGAATGATAAAATCATGTTTCAATTTTTTTTGTAGCTTCTAAAATGGAAAATCAAGATTTGATTTAAATCTCATTGGTATAATCTATATGACCCTGTTTCTTTTTTGTTTGTTTTAATATATTTTTTTTTTATTCGTCGTTTTTAACCATGGATTCTGATTTGGTCTTATCGTTACATGTTTATCAGATATAATCATTTAAAGCCTAAAATAGAAAGCCATTGCTTTTATCTTTAGTTTCAAAAGTCTAGCATATGGTTCTTTAATGAATGTGGCCATATGGGGTTTCCAACATAATTTGAAAGCAATGGCAGACCTAGGATTTTAATTCATAGAGTCGCAATTATACATAATTAAAAAAAAAAGTGTAAAAGAATTAATTTAAAAAAAAAAAAATTAAATATGAACCCATTTTGGTTCTTGTTAAATAAAGTGGAAGTTGTTGGACATAGTTTTATTATGTATAATATCATGTTGACCAAACATTAAATACTGAACAAACTTTCCTTACATAAAATTGATTTCCAAAATGACTTAAATGCATGTCTATCTTTGTAGATTGCTATCAAAACAAGTTCTGATAGTAATAGACAATTAGACGGTGAGTTCTGAAATCTGAATTCAGATAAGTTGATTATAAAGAGAACATATTTCTTTGCTCTGTAAGTGTTTGTACATGGTGTTCCCTCTGTCTGGAATCAATAGTGACATTGTCTAAGTCATTTACAGTTCCTCCTTTGTTATTCAGAGTTATCCATGAGTGGTGAATGCATAGACACTCACTTGATTGGAGAGTGTCGTCGATCACTCCCACATACTTCATGCACTATGTCACTTCCCTCACTTTCATTTGTTCCTATCTTTCACATTATTGATCAAGTGTCATCCACAACACCTAACAGTCTGCGCTTATTATACACTGCAGTACTGTACTGCACTCTCCTCGGGGTTAAAAAGATTAGTACCTTAAGCTTTATTTTGTGATGATGTGATCCAAGTATTAGTAGTGGATATAATGGTGATCTGATCAGTCTCCTAGAGAAAATCATAACTGCATTTATGCTACGGCTATTTCATGTTTAACTTTCATCTGTAGATTTAGTTTTTGTACTAATGATAAGTGACAAGGACAAAGAAAAGTGGGAAAAAGAGAAGATTCGAAGTTTGTGGCAATCAAACATATTATTGGAGATTGGAGAATATATATATTTATCAAATTTGTTTCGAAGTATTTTTGCCCTGCTCAATTGCTGCTCTTTAGTTTTGTTCTGTTTGAGTTTAACATCGTGATTAATATGTGATGCAGATTTTTGTGGCATCAAGGTTAAATGTCCCTGGAGCATGGCAGATGCCTCAGGTAAATATACTTTTAACACATTTCTTGTAAATTTTTTGGTAGATTGTTAATTGTATTGAATGCGGCACATCAATGTTGTATTGGCACTGCATATGTGTTTTGTCACAAACTATCCTAGAAGCTCCTTTTAGACAGTATTAATATCATTTCTTTGAGGCTGCAATCAGTTTCAATTCTAACAATGTTCAGATAAGGTAATATGCTTTAGCTTTTGGCTAACAAATGTTTTTAATGTGATTGTAAGAGTTGTTATAACTTACTAATCGAGTCAGTGACTTATGTTCCATCAAATGAATATTCAAACCGTTATTTAGCACACCTCTTCACAGACACCAAAACATTATACCAAGTTTTATAGCTTCTATTAGAGTAACCACAATAATCTCTTTACTTTTGATTCTTTTTCTTCCTTTTGGCATAAGTAGCCTGCAATACTGAAATATATCTAGAAAGTTTAGTATTGATCTTTAATTTTTGAATAACTTCTTGTTTTACTATAGGGAGGTATTGAAGATGGTGAAGATCCTAAGTCTGCAGCCATCAGAGAATTACGCGAGGAAACTGGGATAACATCTGTTGATATAATTGCTGAGGTGCATTTCATGAATATTTTTAAATTCTATCATGTTCGAATCATCTTATTAAATATAGTGCAGATAGGCTTGCTCTTTTTTCATTCCGTTCTTATTCTATATGAAGTTACAAAGTATATATTTCTTAACTTTTGCTTATCTATTTGCAGGCCCCAACATGGCTGACTTATGACTTTCCTCCTCCTGTGAAGGCAAAAGTGAATCGCTTGTGGGGTGGAGAATGGCATGGCCAGGCACAGAAGTGGTAAACTATATCTTTTTTTTCGTTGTTATTTGTCTTACCTCTCTTTTAGTAGTTGTAATATAAGGAGTCTCAAGGAAACATATTATCACAGAATTTATTGAGTCCTACGGGCCTACCCAACGACTTCGTGACTACATCCTTAGACTGCAAGCCTGTAGATACGCTTTTCTGGCTACATTATTGTGCTAAAATGTTCGTAGGACTATGAAAATTGAAAACACATTTTTCAAGTCACTTTAGATAAAAGAATATATTCCTGTGCCCTGTCTTTATTACTCTTGAAGCTTTTGCAAGAGAAAATATATTCTGTGCATGCTCACAGTCTATGGGACTTTATGGTGGTGAAACACTTTAACCTTTATTACCATTTATTTTAGAGATAGAAGAGGAAAATGCACATATACATGAAAAGTAAGATGCTTAGTTACATTAATAAACTCTGTGAATGAATATTGTTATAAAAGGGGAAACGAAAGAATGATCCTCAAAGACTTTGCTCATAAGTAAACCTGTATTACTGTATTCATGATTAAGTTATTTGCTGTTAAATGGAACAGATGTATAACAACAGACTGATATCATAATATTCTTCATTCTTATGTTTCTATAGTCGCATACTTTTCTAAGAGGTCTCATACTTTTCTGCTAGAGGTCTCATACTTGGACTACTAATTATATTACATACTAACCAGTAAAGTAATTCTATAACAGAGTTTATCTAGCATCACTTCTGTCGGTTTCAGAACATGCTGTCACTGTTGGATGTACTTCTGCACATTTTTTCTAGTTGTTAGTTTAGGCTTACGTCTTGGTTATTATTGATCAGAATTGATGACACGTGAATTTCAACATGGACAGGTTCCTTATGAAGTTTACAGCAGATGAACGTGAGATCAATTTAGCAACTGGAGAAGCAGAAACAGAATTTTCAGAGTGGAAATGGGCAACCCTTGATGAGGTCATTGATCAGGTATAATAAAACAATGATCTTCAAGTTGCTTCAATTTCGCCGTATTTGTTGAACTTCGAGTAGGATATTGAATTTACATTTCAACAGGCTGTAGACTATAAGAGGCCAGTATATGAGGAAATTATGAACAACTTCAGGTCATATATTGACATCAACCCGAAATCTGCTAAATGCAAGTCAGCTAAGTGGTAAACTATACAGCCTAAAAGTCTGTAATTCACCAAGCCTTCTTAATTTACCTTATTAAATCTTTATGTAAATCTTATGTCAGTCTTCTGTAAATTAATATAGAAGCTCTTTTTTATTTTTTCATTTGAGAATTGACATTGTGTAAAACTTAATGTTTGAGGGATTCCTAGACTGCTAATGTTAGCGCAGCTCGAAAGTGTAATTGAGGATCTGTTCTCAGTTTTCAGTCATTTGATTCTGCTAGTAATATTACCAGAAATGAAAGGAGTAAGAATTGAACAAAATTTCTATCTACTGTATTAGTTTCAATATGTAAGAGGGAACACCAAACAAGTGTTCATTTAGGCATTACAGATTGAGTTGCAACTGCTGAAAATTTTAGCTTGATTGACTTCTACTCTTATTCAGCTATATGTCACTTGTCATTTGTCGCAGACATATACATTATTGCATATATCAATGACACAACTTGTAAACAATTGCGAAGTATATTTAGTTAGTATTTTTTTTTAGATATATCACATTTTGAAAAATCCGAAACCGAATTAATTCGAATTGGATTTTGTTTGGCTATAATCCAAACCGTAAATTGAACTTTCACTACTAATATTTATGGTTCGATACACAGCATATGGATCAGAACATACATCATTTCATCATTTGCCCTTGCTTTTTCAGCACTTGTCTAATTTACCAAATAGCCTTGAATATTCAAGGGATATACCAAAATACAGAATGATGAAGCTATGTTTGTCCTTATTAATTACTACCTCCACCCACGATTATCTGCACCAAATGTATTTTTTTGCGGACTATTAGGCAAAACTTTTAGTGTAATTTAATTTTTGAGTGGGTTTAATTAAGTAAAAAGGAGGAAAATAGGAGAGAGAAAGTGGCTCCATATGTTTTAAGTGTGATGGTGGGTTAAAGTGTGTGGAGAGAAAGTGGTCCCATATGTTTAATTTAAAAAGGTTAAACAAAATTAAAACAAAAAGTAAAAGTAAGATGGTTGCACATAATAAAGAGCATCCATTTATGGCAAATGTTGCAAATAATTGTGGGCGGGGTAGTATGTAATATGACTCCCTAGTCATTTGTTCTTTGTGAGACTAATGAATTTCATTTTCTTTTTTTTTTTTTTTTTTTTTTTTTTTTTTTTTTTTGCGAAAATGAATTTCATTTTCAATTAGATAACGTTTTCACGTTTTCCAGTCCATATGAATAACGCAAACACTTGCTGACCACCAAAGGTGCCTTGTGTTGAATCCCACTAAATACCTCTAGGCGGTAGTCGCTATCGTTGAAGTTTATCAGTATGTTTTCTTTTGCTAAAACTGGAAGTGATGCCCAACTATATGAGGTTTGAATGGAATTTCATTTACATTATTGTTATTTGTGATTTTATCTATACACAAATGATTGATTTTGAAGATAGACTGAACAATTATTGCTTCCTGTATTTTTATTATTATTTTTTTTAATTTTTGTATAAGGTATCCTTTCCATAATTCCATTTCAAACTTTTCTTTTACCTTAAAATTTTTTGTTAAATAATATTGATCAAATTAGAAAAAATAAAATGAAACGGAGTGAGTAATATTTTAGTATTGCTGGGTGGAGAAAGTCAACAAATCTGTAATAAAGAGCTTTGATAAAGAAATTTTGCGCAGGTTAAAAACACAAAGGGTAGTAATTTGGCAGTTACTCTAGGGAACACATTCTTTTCATTTGCCAAAATTTCTGTTATAAGTCACTAATTTTCCTCTAATCTCATATTAATACAAATATACAATGTTGATGAAGTTGCTATATGTAGACAAAATTTACTCTATTTTTTTTCCATTTATTTATACATGGAGTATAATTTTTATTGCTGAGCCGTACTAGGCTTCATTGTTTGTCAAAAAAAAAAAAAAAATGAGACCATACATGTAAAGAGGAAAAATACCACATAAATAAAATAAAATAAAACAAAATACCATACATGAAGCGGGTGTAGTATATATTCCCTTTGTGCTTTTTTTTTTTTAAAATGTTACACTTTGACTTTTTCACTATTCATATAATGGTTATGACTTGATTATATTTTACTTACATATAAAAATATATTATTGTATAATATATTGTTGGATTCGTCATAATGTATACTTTTATAATATGAAGTATTAATATTCTATAATTTACTACTCCGTAACATATAATTAAATAATTTAATGGTCAAAGTTATGTCTCAACATATGTATTTGGTCAAAGGTGTTTCTCAATAAGTGTATTTGGTCAAATTTGTGTCTGGACATATGTGTTTAATCAAAGTATAACACTAAATAAAAGAGAGAGTAACAACCATTCTCTAATTCTTAGCTAACGAATTACTTCCTCCGTTCTTTATTACTTGACCCACTTTGACTTTTACACTATTCACCACCCCTCTTTTGACCGTCTTTTGTGAATAATATGTAAGAAAAATATATTCATGTATGATTTTTTTGGATTCGTCTTAATAAATACTATAATAATATATAACTTTTATAATTTTTACTTACGGAGAATTTAAGTTATTGATCGTTAAAATTTTGTATTGGCAAGCGTGATAAAAGAAACAAGTCAAGTAAAAAAGAACAGATGAAGTATATACAAATTTTGTGCTTGTACACTTTTTCCAACCAGCTCTTGTGCAAACATGTGTTACTTCAGTGTGAAAGAAGCATTATGCCATTATGGTCCCTATCTTATCTCCCAAAAAAGGCCCTAGTTGTAGGGCTATATGCCTATATCCCTTGAAGAGAGGACAGGAAGGCTTTGTATAATTGTATACGGGATAAGTGACTTCACAAATATTAGAAAAAATCCGATGTACAATATCGTTATTGTAAATGGCTCAACCTTTACCTGAACAATGAGAAAGAGTGAGCTAGAGAAACAGTAAAACCTCAACCCAGTGTTCCGGCTAAACCCCCCCCCCCCTCCCGCCGCCGCCTCCACCTCTCCCTTTACCTCCGCCATCACCACCAAAAAACCCAATGTGTGTTGGAACGCGATGGTTACTGGTTTTATATGCCATGGATCATACATTGACGCCTTAAAGACCTTGTACGGAATGAAGGTTGCAAGTATGAAACCACATAAATCAGTAATGGATGAAGGCTCGCCTTTGGTAGTCTGAAGCTAGAAATAGCATGAATGAATACTAACAGGAACAATTTTTGTAAGGACTATAATATCAAATTAACCCCCAACTAAGTAACTAACCCCTGTCCAACCAAAAAACCTTCCTCCAATCTCTCAATAACCCCCAATCGACTGATGTGCCCCCATTCCTTAACCATGGTTTATTTGGAAATTCTTGATCTTTGTATAAAAAAGGGTCACTTTTGTGGGAAAAAAGTCAATTTTGTGGAAAAAAAAAAGAGGTCACTTTTGTTTAAAAAAAAAAGGTCACTTTTGTGAAAATATGGGTTACTTTTGTTAAAAAAAAAAAAAAAAAAAAAAAAAGAGCCACTTTTGTAAGAAAAAAGGATCACTTTTTGCAAAATATTCGATGTACAATAAAATTATTGTAAAGCGGGGGAACATGCAACAATTTTTGAAGTAACTTAAACTAAATCATTACATTACATGCCATTCCTACCATACTGGGCATACTCTAATAATTGATGGTCTAGCAAATTACTCAACTAAATGTACATAAATGATCCGATTATTAAGTCTATTAACAAATACTTCCTCCGTTCATTTTTACTTGACCCACTTTGACTTTTACACTATTTAGTATTTACCACCCCTTCTTTGACCGTCTTTTATGAATAATATATTATTGATCATTAAAGTTTTGCATTGACAAAACGTGATAAAAGAAACAAGTCAAATAAAAAAAACAGAGGAAGTATGCATTAAGACCGTGTTTTAATTACAAACATAAGAGGTGTGTTTTAATAGTAAAGTAGTTATACTTTTGGCTAGAGGCTGAAGATTTAAACCTTGATCATAGGTAAGTTTTGGTCTAAGATATAAGGGTATAACTTCCTATGTCATACCTAACAACCACTTAGTTAACGACTTCACTAGGCGTCAACGATAGCACATATAAATAAGCAATGCATTCCGGGGGCATGTACTTCCAAAGTTCTAAGTAGAGCACCAAATAGTTTATAGTCTTTACTCGTAATACAGACTTTTCAACATCATTAAGAATAGCTAAAAGTTGAAAATTCATTAAACTAAAGATGCTTTAATACGCGTATGTCACGTGAAGACTTTATATCATTGTCCTCATTTTCAATCATAAACTACAATGCTAAATAGTAACTAGTAAGCACCACTTCACAAAAATACACAAACAAACACTATGAAAACATTCATCCTCTCATTATCTATCCTTCTTCTTCTATTCCATTTTACTCCTACTATTAGTTCATCATCCACCCCATTTACACCCGAATCGCTTCCTACTAAATCCGGCTACTTAGTCGTAAACTCGACTTCTAAGTCGTCGATTTACTACACTTATTATGAAGCACAGCAACCTGTTTCAACACTTGAAAAAACTCCACTTCTTGTATGGCTCCAAGGAGGTCCTGGTTGTTCCTCTATGGTTGGGAACTTCTATGAGCTCGGCCCGTGGCGGGTTAACCATAAGATTGAGTTAGAAAGAAATAAAGGCGCATGGAATCGAATATTCGGGCTTTTGTTCTTGGATAATCCAATTGGGACAGGGTTTAGCATTGCTGCTACACCAGAGGAGATTCCAAGGGATCAACATGGTGTAGCTAAACATCTTTTTATTGCTATTAAATCATTTCTTGCATTAGATAAAGCTGTATTTGGAAATCGACCCGTTTATATTACTGGTGAAAGTTATGCAGGAAAATATGCTCCTGCAATAGGGTATTACATAGTAAGGAGAAATAGTGAGCTACCAGAAACTGAGAGGGTAAATTTTGGTGGAATTGCAATTGGAAACGGGTTAACTGACCCGATAACCCAGGTGACAACCCATGGGTTGAATGCTTATTTTAGTGGGTTGGTGAATGAAAAGCAGAGATTGCAGTTAGAGGAAGGTCAAAGGGCGGCGGTAAAGTTGGTTATGGAGAGGAAGTGGACTGAGGCAACTGATGCAAGAAGTAGAGTATTGAATTTGCTCCAAGAGATGACAGGGTTGGCTACTTTGTATGATATCAGAAGGAAAATACCCTATGAGTCGTACTTGGTAGAGCGGTTTTTGAGCAGTTCTGAGGTCAAGACGGCGTTGGGGGTGAATAAATCCATGGTTTGGGAGGACTGCAGTAATATAGTAGGCGAGATTTTACATGAAGATGTAATGAAGAGTGTGAAGTACATGGTGGAAATGTTGTTGCAGAAGACCAAGGTTCTGTTATATCAGGGGCAGTGTGACCTGAGAGATGGGGTGGTTTCCGTAGAGGCTTGGCTGAAGAAGTTGAAGTGGGAAGGGGTTCGGAAGTTTGAAGATGCAGAGAGGAAAGTGTGGAAAGTAGAAGAGGAGGTTGCCGGGTATGTGCAGAAATGGGGGAGTTTGACTCATGCTGTAGTGTTGGGAGCAGGACATTTTGTGCCCACTGATCAGGCTGTTCATTCGCAGGTCATGATCGAGGATTGGATCCTTGAAAAAGGAATTTTCGCAAGAGATGAAATTGAGATTGAATCACGATGTCCAAAGAATTTTCTTTGAAAATGCTGAAGGAATTATTCTGTGAATGCTAGTCCTAGACGCTTCAGCAAGCAAATAACAGTTGCGTAACTCTAGCTTTGAATTGTCAAAATTGAATATATATGTACCATTGTCTTTGACAATATGATCTTGAAAGGTTGTGTGACATATAAAGCAGTGATCTGGGAAAGTTCAAGGATTGGTAAGATTGGTACAGATCATTCTATGACCAATAACTCTTTACAAAAATGGTAAGATCAGTAGATGGGTAAAGACATTGAGCTTTGATCGTGTAATACTAGCAGGCTGTATCGACAATCTTATATTGGTTTCAGATATGAATTTGCAGCCGTTACCATTGGTATGTTATGTCAATTTCATTTAAGTCCTTGTTTTATTCTACACGCATATTCAATTTCGAGAGAGAGGGCAGGATGGAAATCAAAAGAGAAACAGTGCAACAGTGCTTTATTTGATTGCTTTTAGCAGTTGCCCAAAACAAAATCCAGTTAAAGGGCTGCTTGAGAGGGACAGTAAAGAATACTCAATTGTTCCTGTTTTTGGGAAGGCACCATTAGGAATGAGTGAGGCTGTGAGGATGCTATTTTTGCTTTAAAATGAAAACCTGCTTTGCATTCTTAAACCATACCAACGTGCAAGAAGCTCGGGAAAAAAAATTAACTTTAAAATAGGAAATTTTGATATTTACTACCAGTAAAAACACCACTCTTCACATTTGCTACATGTTTAAAGTTTTTTTATACTTTGCTACCACCTAAATCACAGTTTGTTAGAAATTGCTACCACTTAACAGAATCCGTTAAGATTCTGTTAAGTAGGGCCCAATATTTAATTAAATAATAATATAATTTTTTTAAAAAAAAATAAATAAAAAAAAATTTAAATCCCCCAAAACAGTCCGTCAGCCACCACTCCCACCTCCGTCGCTGGCTGCTTGTAGCCCGTCAGCCACTGCTACCTCTCCCACCTCCGTGTCGGCTATTCCCTCGGTGGCGACGAATCCATGGTCCTCCCTCCCACCTAAACACCACCCTTAAAACCGCCCTAAACGAGTTTTAGGGTTTCGTTTTTAGGGTGGTGTTGGTTGCGATTGGCCGCAATTGCTACCCTTAAAACCGCCCTAAACGACCCCACAACCCTCTCTTTCCTCTGATTTCCCACCGTTTTAGAGTGATTGTTGCGATTGGTCGCAATTTGGTGACCGTGATTGGCACGTTTGGCCGCTGTTGCTGCCGCAATTTGCTGTCATGGTGGTGAGATAAGGGAGGTGCGGTGCTGCGGCTAATGGAGGAGGTGTGGTGCGTGGTGTTTTGTGGTGCTGCTGCTGATGGAGGGATGTGCGTGGTGGTGTTTTGCGGTGCTGCTGCTAATGGAGGGATATGCGTGGTGGTGCCGCAATGATGAAGGTGGGTGCTACAGTGCTGCTGCTAACGGTATTGTTGGCCGCCGCGATTTACTGTGCTGCAAGATTTTGCGGTGGTGATGGAAGGGTGGTGACGGTGGAGGGAGATGTTGTGCGCGGTGGTGAGACAAGGGAGGTCGTTGGTGGTTGATTGTTGGTGGTAGCAGGGAGCAGGGGTGGCTGGAAGGTGGGTGGGGTGGCAAGAAGGTGGCTGGACGGTGGTTGAGCCCCACTAACGGAAACAGTAACAGAATAAGACATGTGGTAGCAATTTTTAACAAAATGTGATTTAGGTGGTAGCAAAGTAAAAAAAAAAATTTTAATAGGTAGCAAATGTATAGAGTGGTGTTTTTCCTGGTAGCAAATGTCAAAATTTCCTTTAAAATATACCAGAAACACAGAATAGTTAACAAAAATGAGATACACGTTGCGAAACAGATTTATCTGTATCTAATAGCATGCCAGGCCAACCTGGGGTGATCTTTCTGTAATTATTCACAATCGATATATCTGAAATCAATTGTAAAACGATTTCATGTACTAGAAAGCTTTGAAGTAACATTCAATTGATTCTGCTTTCCTTTCCCTGACCTTTACTTATGAACGGAACTTTTCAGAGCTATACATGTGAGCAACAGAACACATAATACCTTGTGCCAACCCTAGACCGCTGGAGATAAATGAAGGAATATGAATAGATATAAGATGAAGGAGCATCTGTTTCATCACCATCAATATCCATTTTATATACCTTTTCTGAGATTTGTATACAAGAAAGGAACTCGCATCCTGTCTTTGGTATAATGACAGATGGAAATCCCTTGGAAAATTTTAACTGAAGTCTCAACAATTAGCTTATGTAATAATATAACCACCTACCGACGGCGTCTTTGATAAAGTGAATAACCGATGAGGGCTGACATCAAGAAAGTCCATATTACCTGCCAAAGATAGCATAAAATATTGGTTTGATATGTACAGTAAAAAACAATTCGAATGAGAATTAGTGAAAGAAAAAACCATACAGTATTGATTGTTTGCCACCGTTCAAGCCTCTTGATTCTGCACTGCAGCTCTTCAATTGCATTTTCAATTGCTGCCCCTTCTCTGCCTGGAGAGGATTCTGAAGCTGAGCTACTTCCCTTCAATAAGTTTCAAGCATTTGTCAAGGCCACTTGGTACAATGTTAACATTTACATTGAGACTAGGGCATTGACTATGAATTAGAAAAGCTAGCAATTACTAAATAGGGGTTTATCCACACTCCGAAACTTATTATTCCCAGAATACATAGTAATACAAACTACTTCCTCCGTTGAACATGAAAAGTGATATGGAGTATTGCCTAGGAGATTTTTTTTCCCACGTAGTTTCAATTCATAGGAATGCTTGTTTGGTTGAGCATACGAAGTTTTATTTCATATAGTACATTTCCCTTACCTAAGGAACCCAGGCAAGTAACTTCATCCATTTTGTTTGTAAAAGGTATAATTTTCTCGTAAGTGTAACTTCTTTTGATTTTGCAAACCAAATAACTCCACCCCCAAATCCATAGAAGTTTTTATTTTCGGTGAATTTTGACATAAACCAGACAAGCATTAAAAGCATTTATGATGCGTGGAAAACTGTGGCATTTCCTTGGAAATTAATGGTTTGTAGTTGACTGTTCTAGAATACCCATATTAAGATTTGACTTTGCCAACAATTGTTCTCAGTTTCATAAATATTTTTTTCTTTTTTTTTTCGGAGTAAATAAATTAATAAATTGTATCCTAAATTATGTGGGTTAGAGCAATGTGACCAATCCCAACAAAGAAAGTACATAAGAAATCTGTTCAGAGCACAATATATCTTGCAATTGCACTCATCTCATCATCATAAGATCAAGTTCAAACTATTAGGCAGTCAGCACTGTAAATAATGTCCACAGAAATGCATTCTATCATATCACACTAATCAGTGTTCCAATGATGAATTGACCCTACAGCATATCGGCAACTACAAGCACCAAGTTGCTTCTAATAAGTACCACACACCCCCAAATCTGTAAGTACAGAGACATAGAAACATGACAATACCAAATCTTTTTGTTAATCCATTAAACTTATTACTAACCCACCACGTTATCCATAGCCAATGCCAGCCAGTAGAAAGAGACACTTGCAATCAGAGAAACATGCCAATCTCATTTGTTCTTCATTTAGCAAGACTCATCACATAAAGCAGATTAACAAACAGTCAACAAACAAAATACCTGAGACTGAATGATTTCCACAAGCTCCAGTAGTCTTGCAGATTGCTGAGTGTGGACTCCACTGGAGTCTATTGCTAGGGCTGGTAAGCTCTCTAATATTATTTGCAAATAGCTCTGGAACAATAACACATATTAGCTTTTAAAGCAGGCCAGAAAATATTCTGTTTATAAAACTACAAATATTACAACTAGAAAACCATGGAGGGGTTAACGACAAGTACAAAGTCAGAACCTTAGTAGTGTATGAACCATCAAGCCCTAGCATTGAGCCTGCAGCCACTACAGCTTCTTTGTCAACTCCTTTAATTTGGATATAAGGACTTGGCACATCTTGCAGATTATCAACTTCAACAAGAATCTGAAAGAAGATATCCAAAGAGGAATTTTCTATAATGAAAACCACAAATTTTACGGATAATAAAACAGCTTGGAACTATCAAGTATACATATATAGCTATCGTGGAAAATTAAAGGCAAGAACATATACTAATCAATGGAAGTGGGTCATGCCAGCAAGTAGGCTGGCAGCCTGGCATAATCCAGCACAATTTCGCCACAGGGCCCCATGGCAATGCCTGGTAAAAGGAGCAACCAAAAAAATAGACCCAAAGACCTATGAGCCAGGCATATCTAGTGGGCCTTCATTAAAATTATTTTTCCATATCATTATTAGTTTTTGATTCAATTAAATTGCTTTATTCAAAATGCATTTTTATTAACAAACACAATGTTTCAAGCTATTTTCAATACCATATGAACATTACTCCCTTTGTTTCTGATTAATCTCAACACTTTCCTTTTACTTCATCACTCTTTGGAACAGCAAGATACCATTTTATGCATGGTTTAAGCAACTATTATAATGGGCAAAAAAGGGCGAAAAAGTTGTATCAAGCCATAGAAAATCATCCCAACTTCTTATTTTTTCATACATAGCATGATAGCAGTATGTCAGGAACCTAATATCTGTTAGATAAAAAAGTTCAATATATTCATTCCAGCAACAAGCTCAAATTCCAAATTCATATAATAAAAAAAACTTATGAACTCAGGTACTGTCTAACCTTTCCATCTTGGTATATGTACGCTGAAGCTTCAATGTATGCTACAGCTTGATACCTGGCAGCAGATTATAAATAATTTAACTACAGCACCCTAGCTTAGAAAACTTAATGAACAGCCAATGGTTTGTACAACAAGCTACAATCATAATCGCTCAATGCTACAAAAAAAAAAGAAAAAAAAAAAAAAAAAAAAAAAAAAAACCCACAGCCAGAAAAAGGGATAAAAACCAAAGCACTAAAATGAAACAAGATTACTCATAACAATACAGTCTTTCACGGGCATATCCGAAGGCCACATCCCACAACCAAAAACCAAAATTAAAAAATAAATAAATAAAGAGAAAAATATTGACTACAATCCAAAGCATCCTGTTTAGGGTATTTTTACCCTAGACACGTGGACCAATGAGAGGTCGCCACGTGTTAAGGTCAGGATGGCTCATGTGGCTCAACATCCTCTTGACACTTGGTGCCCTCAGATATGTTTCTGAATTGGCAGCTTTCAAAAGGCCCAAACTCCTAGGAGCGCCGTAAAACGGCGCAGCCCACTAAAATCTAGGTCAAGTGACCTAGATAGGGGCGCATTTTCCAACGACCTTATAAATAGGGAGATATTTCCCCACCTTGAGGGGGACATTGAATCATTAATTACACCCTTATTCTCTTACATTAGAGAAAGACCTGAGCTTGGAATCCGAGCAGATACCCACCTAAATTTTCGTTCTCTCTATTCCGTTTCAAGTTACTGACTTGTGCGTCGGAGGCGGAGCACCATCCAACCGGTGTCTCCGTTTGTTTTGCAGGTACAGCTCACTGCGAATCAGTCTTCGCGTTGTAACTCTCCCAAGGGACAAAAACACCCAAAACATTTGGCGCCGTCTGTGGGGAGAGTACCTCGAAGATGGTTCAAGAGTCTGTACCACCCCCTTAACCGTCTGGGTGAAGACCCAGAAGTTTTTACAGACCATGAGGATGAAGATCCTCAGGTCGAAACTTTTACAGCCGGAGACGGCTCTCTCAGAACTAAGCGCATCCGGCCCAGAGACACTCTGGAGCGGGGTGCTTCCCAGGCGGGTCCGAGCAGACCCCCTGGGCAGCCGGAAGGGGCAACCCAAACGGCAGCTGGATCAGCCCCTGTTACCCGAGACGAACTCATGAGGTTCATGACGAGTTTCAAGGGTGAAATTACAGAGCTGATTACCAAAAGCAGGGCTGGCCAAGTAAAGGTCAGTCGGCGAAGAAGACTCCTCCAGAGAAGGGGAAGTGAGTCAGAAACCGGCAGCCCACTCCCCATCCAAAGGAGAAGGCAGCCGGGACCATTGATTGGTCAAAAATTCTCCTTCCTGGAGGGAACACCAATAACACTCGCGGCCTCAGCAGCCGGTGAGAAGTAAAAAATCAACTCTTGATGCCCAGGAGATTATTAACCGGAAGAGAAACCAATCGCTGTCTGAGTCGGCTTCAACGTCGAACTTTCCAGACAGCTTCAACAACATCTCTGCAGGGAGTGCACCCTCCTTGCATGAGAGCCAGACAGGCGGTAATACCGTCCATTCTGGCCCTCATATGATTGGAGCCGTCCCGTATGTGCCTACTCAGGCTTACGGGCAGTATCCTCCTCACTTCATGCAGCCGGCCTTCTTTGGGGGTCAAGCGGCGTATCCAAATGTCCAGCCATTGGACTGGCAGCTTCGCCTGCTGCGCCTGGGTGAACAACCTTCTGCGTTCACTCGGGAGATAACCGAGGCGGCTCAGCCGGCCAAGGTTAAGAATGTGTTGGTTGGTACCTATGATGGTACCACCAATCCGGAAGACCACCTCATGGCTTACACCAACCTCATGTATCTGCAGGGGTTGGATGATGCCACTTGGTGTCGATGCTTCCCGGCTACATTGAAGGGCATTGCCCAACAATGGTTTGGCAACCTGCCAGCCGGGTCCATAGACAGCTTCAGGAAGCTTGCCTTCCTGTTTCCTTCCAACTTCTCAATGAACATCCCTGCTAAGAAAACAAGCCTTGATTTGAGCAGTGTTAAGCAGGGAAAGAGAGAAGGGCTACGCTCATATGTTAGGCGGTTCAACCTAATCAGAATTCAGATTCAGGGACTGTCTGATGAGGTAGCTTTTACAGACTTTTTTAAAGGTCTGAGAGACGGGTCGACCTTTAAGTTCGACCTAGTCAAAAAAGGGGCTTTCACCCTACAGGCGGCCCTGAGGGAGGCGGAAAGCTACATTCAAGCAACCGACCTCCTGGTAGCCAGTCGGACTCTAAGAAGTCTGACAAACATTGAGATAACCGGCCTCCTCAGCCGGCAAAAAAGAAAGAAGAGAGCAAGAAGAGAAAAGAGGTCTGGGCGGTTAGTGACTCTGACCAGCCGTCCCAGAAGAAGAAGAAAGAATTTAAACCGTACGTCCCAAAGTACGAGTTTAACAAGGACTGCAACTCCATCCTCATGGAGATAAAGGACCGGCTGTCCCTTGAGAAGCCGAATCCAATGAAAAGTTCCGTTCAATCCAGGAACAAAAATAAATTTTGCCAATATCATGAGGAAGTTGGCCATGACACCAACGACTGCTTCAGCCTACAGCGGACGTTGGACCGTCTGGCTGACAAGGGGATGTTGAAGTCCTATATTTCCAAGTCCCCAGCCGGGGCAAAAAAGAAAAACAAGGGTCAGTCCTCCAAGACTACCCCCCAGCCTGCTAGTAGTTCGGATACCGACAAGGAGCCGGTCTACACTATAGCAGGCAGGTTTTCATGTGGTGGCCCTACCATCAGGGGCACCAAGAGCCATCTTCGAAAGATGGACAAAGATGATGATGAGCAGGCGGAAGCCAGCTCCTCCTTCCCAGACGTCTTAATCACTGAGAAGGACAGGGGCAGCGTTCGCCGCCCGCATGATGACCCGATGGTCATTGAATGTAAGATTGCCAACCAGCTGGTTGGACGAATCCTTATTGACACCGGCAGCTCATCAGACATCATCAGCCTCCGGTGCTTGCAGAAGCTGAAATACAATATCAGCAGCATGCATCCGGTCACCCACCCCTTGGTTGGTTTTGGGGGTGGCATGGTCTACCCAGCCGGAAGAATTGATTTACCCATCCGGCTGGGGGAGAAAGGCCAGGGACGACATATTGTCGTCAGATTCTTGGTCGTTGAGGAGCTGACCGCCTACAACATTATTTTAGGCCGGCCAACCCTCAACGTAGCCAAGGCAGTAATCATCCCATCTCTCATGCTCATCAAGTATGAGAAGGATGATGGCACTGTTGGTTCCCTGAATGGGGATCAGAAGACGGCTCGGGAGTGCTACCTCTCAGCCGTCAGGGACACTGTAACCCCAAGTGTCCAGGAACCAATAGACCTTGACAATGTCAAGGATGCCGATCCAGCACCCGCCCCACCAGCAGCCGGTATGAAAAGAAAGGCACCCCTGCTGGTGGAGGTGAAGAAAGAGAAAAAATAGCAATCACTGACCGGTGAGCGGTCAGGTGAGCTCCGTCCCCAACCGGCTGGCGAAAGCATTGATCTCGTTCTGGATAACAGCCGTCCCGAACGTACTGTTAAGGTTGGGACGGTTGCTCATGCTACTTTGGGTGCAAATTTGCACCTTCTGCTGAAGGAATTCAAAGACATCTTTGCCTTTGAAGTGGAAGAGATGCCAGGCGTCAGCCTGGACCTCGCTGTCCACAAACTCGCCGTGGACCCCAAAAAGAAGCCCATCCGGCAAAAGAAAAGAAACCACGGCGAGGAAAGAAGTCAGGCGGCAGCTGCCGAAGTCAAAAAGCTGCTAGACGCCAGGTTCATTCGGCCTTGTAATTTTCCCGACTGGGTGGCCAATGTGGTCCTTGTTAAGAAACCGAATGGGACCTGGCGCATGTGTGTTGATTACACAGATCTTAACAAGGCGTGTCCAAAGGACAGTTATCCGCTTCCAAAGATCGACAGTCCGGTCGACTCTACAGCCGGTCACGCCTTGATGAGTTTCATGGATGCCTACTCTGGCTTCCATCAGATACCCCTGTGGAAGAAAAATCAAGATAAGACGGCCTTCGTCAGGGGCTATTCTGTTACACGGTGATGCCATTTGGCTTGAAAAATGCGCCGGCTACATTCCAACGGATGATTAACACTGTCTTTGTTAATCAAATTAGGAGGAATGTAGAGGCATACATTGATGACATGATAGTCAAATCCAAACAGCAGACGGATCACCTTGCTGATCTCCGAGAAACCTTCACCACACTCAGGCGGCATAAGGTCATGTTAAATCCTAAGAAATGCGTCTTTGGTGTTGAGTCTGGGAAGTTTCTCGGATTCCTGATTGATCAAAGGGGGATAGAGGCTAACCCTGAGAAGATACAGGCGGTGATTGACATGAAGTCACCCCGCACTGTCAAGGAAGCATAGAGACTAACCGGTTGCCTGGCCGCTCTGGGAAGATTCCTCAGCCGGTCAGGTGACAAATGCCTTTACTTCTTCCAGGCAATCAGGAAGAAAACCAGATTTGAATGGGGGGATGAGGCTGAGGCGGCCTTTCAACGGCTGATAGAACACCTCCACTCTTTGCCAAGACTTGTTAGTCCATTGCCTAGGGAGGTGTTATACATGTACTTAGCTGTCTCAGATCATGCCCTCAGTGCCGTTCTCCTTGCTGAGATAGACGGTGTTCAGCTTCCGGTCTATTTCATTAGCCATGTCTTAAAAAATGCTGAGCTCCGGTACCCCATGGTAGAAAAATTTGGCCTTGCCCTGTATATGGCTTTCAAGAAATTGAAGCCATACTTCCTGGCCCATCCGGTGGTAATCTACACCGACCAGCCCCTCAAGCGGCCAATGTCTACCCTGGAGTCATCCGGAAGAATGTTGAAATGGGCTATTGAAATGCAAAGTCTTGAAATCACTTTTGAACCTAGGAAAGCAGTGAAAGGTCAGGCGTTTGCCGACTTCATTGTTGAAATGACCCGACCGGTGCAACCGGAAAATCTTGACCGGGTTTGGAAAGTGTATGTAGACGGAAGCTCAACAAAGAACGGCTGTGGTGCAGGAAT